GCGGTGTGTGTGGTGGCTGGATCGGATGATCGATGGATGACCGGTACAAAGCAAAGATAGTGCAGGAAGGTCAATTAATCGAGGGGGTGGGTGAGCCACATGTAAACACATGCGTTTGGAGCAAGCGGTGTGTCTGTGCATTCATGCATTCATCCGACGCTCGAGCAAAGTTAGCAATCACTTGGTTATGTAAGAGATCGATAACCAGAGACGAAGGTCAACGGGACCAAAGGTCAGCTATGTTGGTAGTGGACAATGAAACGAAGGAACAAGAAAAATGATTCCGCAGAATAGGATCATCAAACATTCTTATGTCAACTATCATCACTCTGACGCATTAGACCTTGTGAACATAGTCGTTGTTCTTCTGATTTAACTATTAGAGTTTCTATCAGGCGACTTCCAGGAACTCAGACCCCATTCGTACAGTCGAAAAAAATGATTGCGGTTATCCTAATGCGCCGAGGCTGACTTTTCTTACTGGAGAGATATGAACAGTCTCAGCACTTTATTTTTTATCCTTCCAATTATTTTCTGCTTCTCAACCCAGCGATTACTTATCGACAATAGATCCAATCTCCCATAAGGTATTTTATCGTCTTAGTACCACGAAAATCACGGGTGCAGCAGATCTGTCCGTATCTATGCCCTAACATGCCTCTTTTCCACTCACAGAGATTTTTAAGAAATCTTTCCGAATATTTCCAATCCCTCATTCTTGGAAAACTTTCACTATTGTACCTATTTTTAAACCTCTGTTATCTAGTATTTCATGCAAACGCTCTTTTGCCATTATCATTACTCACTCTGAACTCAAACAAATAGCTCGTGCTATTTTCACTCGTTTGCGGTCTATTATTGGTGCTCTCAGTTACCTCTCCCCCCCCCCCCTTCTCGAATCGCGCATAAGCCAAATAGATACACTGATCCATTATATTTCCAAATCTCCAAATGGCTCCCCAAAATCCGTTCTTTGCGTCTCCCGTGATTTTTCTTCCACTTGTTTGCTCCATCGCTTTTTTGTCGTGGCTTAAAGACCGCTTTTCATGAAGAAACGAAACCGAGAGTCTATCACCGTATTATGCCTTCTCCGTACTTATTTTCCGCATTCACCGGTGATCTACTCTTTATCCTTCTAGCGAAAATCTCTAAATACGCTAATGATGCAGTTTTATGTCAAACCATCTCCAACCAGTCTGATGTGAAATTAATTTCTGACAGCCTAACTCAAGTGCAAACCTTTTCAAACTAATCTGGTTTCCATTTGAACGCTTCTAGGTACTTCAGCCTTTTGCTATCCGAGTACCCATTGGAACTCTCAATCATCACCTCAGCGCCCAGTAACCAGAACACACACCACCAAATACGTAGAAGTCACCGCAGAGAGTAACCCAAGATGGGCCTTACACATGCAAACGTTTTTTGGTGAACTGCGTCGCATCATTCACTTGTATGTTCTGCTTATCAGTGCATTCCCCCTATCATACTTTACTGTTCCCCTGTATTTCTCCCTGACCAAATTAAAATAGATTTCATTGCTAGTCACCGCAGCTTGGCAATTATTAACCATGATTCTCTTATTCCCATTAACACTGATCACGAAACTGTGTAATCTTCGTATAACCTCATGTGTTAATTGAGCCCTAATCAGCCCAATCATCCGTTTAATCTCGACCTATCTGTCTACCGCTCCCATGACGCAATCAAATCCGATTGTCGCTACTTAGTAATCCATACAAAAGGTTATTGTAGTTCAAAAACCTCCTGTTAGACTTGCACTCTAGCTGACAAGAAAGGGGTCTTCAAGGAAGTAATTGTAAATTTACAAAGATAACTTGCCTTTTATCATTGTAGTACATAACTTTTTCATCATTTTTATCCCGATGTAACAATGAACAGTTTTTGGCTGAAATGTAGGCATAGCTGCTCGCACAGGTCATCATAATACAATACATTAACTACTTTCAGTAGGGAAATCGCTCAGAACTACGTATCCAGGTCATCGAGATTGGTGCATTATGATTACTTTTACTAGAGCGCCACTATCCATGCGATGTTCTGCATCGTCCAACCTCGTCATTTCTCAGTCAGTTATGCTGCCTAGCACATGAGGTGCTTAGAAGACTTTAGTGATCGGATTCATGGAGTATAAGTGAAAGAGAAAGAGAAATCAATGTTATCGTATGAACACAAATCGCTCCGCTCTCCCGCTCTGGAGTTCTTATTCAGTTGTTCCGTTGCAGGGAGTATATTGCATTGTAAAGTGATCAAAAAGACCGCGGTATGACAACTCAAGCAAACTTATTTTCGATATACTTGCCTTTCTACTTTTTCTTTTGTTTCTATGATCACTTCCATGCTGATACATCTACCCCCCATCCTCTTGCAGCTAATTACGTGGGAAAATGCCGTTTACCACTTAGACCCCGTGCTGGTTGGCGCCTGCAAGCAAGATGTATTGCAAAATTGTCACTCCCTCTTGTCCAAAGCAGACCAGGCACCGGAAAGTTTGGATGGCAGTGTCCGGGAGTGCTTGAAAGACGCTTTCCAACAAGGTAAACTACAGTCGCGAGAATGCGCCATGGAGGTGGTTCTGACAATCCGGGAAGGGCAAGCCGACATACATGTTGATCCGGTACTGCATCGAGCCTGTGCAGTTGAGTTGCAGCAAATTTGTGGCGAAGTAAGCCGGTTTCATCAGTATGTAGTTTCTTTTGTCTTTCAGGATCGCTTCATTTGATTTGTTAGGCTGTTAGGCGTTTATGTCGTAAGACCAGAATATTACCGTCCCCCAGTCAAGATGATTCAAGTTGATTCTCCTGATCAAAGTTCACTTCTATATTCTTTTTCTTACAGGTGATGCC